GTTTTCATTAGTTCAGGGGTCTGCAACCTTTACGATCAAAGGAGCCATTTCTGCTCCTTGTCTCACTAATAAAATGTGTCCAGAGTTGCAAAACAAGCTACAACTGGGATTATCAACTGGTGGTCCATGGGCCTTTTTGAGGCCTTTTGGGGAACTTTTACGGTCCGTGCAGGTGACATTATAAAACTAAAGGAATGTTGTTATTATTTTATTACTATACACATCAGGACAAATAAAAATAATATTTTCATGTAAACAAGAAAAATACTGTAAATAGTGTTTAATCAGTCCCCACAGCTCAAAATAGACTGACAAACATTAAAACTAAGGATGTTCTATCTTATTATTTCAGTTAGTTTTAGTTAATTTTGTAAAAAGATTATACAGCTTTAGTTAGTTATAGTTTTTTCATTTTATGACAGTTGTTATTTATTTCAGTTTTTGTAATTTAGTTAGTTTTAGTGAACTATAATGACCCTGCTCTGCACCTTCACCAGGTGAGAACGGCCCACACTCACCCGGTCCACCTTCATGATCTGGAACCTCTGAGAGATGTCGGCCGTGTTGGCGGGCAGCCTGGAGCGTCCGGACACGAAGCGCATGAAGAGGACCCGCTCCTCGTTGGAGAACTCCTCCAGGGTCTGCCAGAACCACTGCACCAGCGTGTGCTGCTCGTCCACCTCCCGGTACCGGACCACCTTCTTCAGCACGTCGCAGCAGATCTCCGGCATGCCGCACACCATCTGCTCCAGCTGTTTGGAGGTCAGCAGAGACAGCAGAGGCACCGGAACGATCCACGACATGCCCTCACGCACCGCTGCCACCTGGTGGACAGGAAGTACGGGTCAGGGAGGAGGCGGGGACCGACGGGGGTCAGGGGGGCGGGGACTCTGGTGTGTTCTGTTCACCTGTCGGTCGATCTCATGCAGCCGGTACTCGATGGCTCGCTCCACGTACTCCTTCCTGTTGGAGAAGGTCAGAGGGATGCTGTTTCCTCCTGGGATGATGGGAACCATCTTACCGTCTGCACTCTGCCCGATGAAGGAGTCCAGAGGAATCATCTGGAAACARCACATCATGTTTCTTCAGTCTGGAAGTCTGTTTGTGGTGCAAACGTCTAAATATTTACTGTAATCTGTGTGAGTGAATGAAGGAGGGAAACTTTCAGCACCACACTGAGTTTTAAGATGTGAGACACAAACAAGTGTGATGAATGAAAACATTTAGCAGCTGCTTCAGTCTCTCCAGTTAAAATAATACATATCCTGTTTTTAAATCCTTCAGTTGTGTCTTTATAAAGTGGAACTACAGCTTTGCTCTGATTTCCTTCTTGTTCTGACTTCACCAGCTCCTCTTTCAACACTTTTCTGTCCGTCTCAAAGCAGCTCGTTTTGTTACTGTTCCGTTAAGACACTTCAAGCCCCGCCCCCTCCAGCTTCCAGACCGGTCCACTCCAGTTTTTTTTTTTTTTTTACAATTTAATTAAAAGATGTAAACAACAGAAGACTTGACAGCAAACAGAGTCTGACCCAGAGGAGAACATAAGTGTCACTTTTAATGGAGAGTGGACAGAATCCTTGTAAAGTGACGGGACATTAGAAATGTCCTCTCTCCTGATGGGACATTAAAATGTCCTCTCTCCTAATGGGACATTAAAATGTCCTCTCTCCTAATGGGACATT